GTTTTTACCAAGGTCCGTTGGTACCTTTACAATCTCACTTTTTTACCAATTATCGATAATTTTACCAACACAGACTGGTAAGCTTACCTTAAAAACCGGTATTTTTACTGTTTTTCCAGGTAAGAATACCACTATTATTGAAGATCAATTCCCGGTAACTTTGCCATTTTATCACGATAATTCTACCTCAGTCGATAAACAATATTGGAGTTTTTACCAAGGTCCAGTAAAATTATCGAGAAAGTTCAATAATTTTACCGAGATTTCTCGATAAAATTACCAATTCCATAAATGGTAATTTTACCAAGAAAAAACTGGGATCAAATAGAACCCTGAATTCTTGGTAATTTTACCCTTTTCTTGGTAAATACACCGAGATTTTTTTTTCAGTGTGAGATGTTCTCCGCTCTTAACCAGAAAATCAGGCGGGCTATGAAGCGCAGGGAAAATTGAATGGGGTTGAGTTATTGCGCCCTAAAGATGGTTGTTGAATTATGGGTTTCCTGAAAGGAAACACGAAGCGACAGAAGACTCCTAATGACGAAATAAGTAGCAGACGATCCAGGATTCACGTCACTGCACGCGTCATGCAGTGCAAGTGCAGGTTCAGCTCCTCTATGTTGCTATGCGCTTATTGAGAAGTTGAATTACTTCAGACGCTACAAATAATAGGGATTCTCCATTAAATCTAATTAGATCCAAACAATAACAGTGACATACTCTTATTATACTATATTTTTCTTCTTATTTTTCTTCGTCTTCTCCTTTTTTGTTGCCTAAATATACTGAAAAAATATTCGCTCCAACAATAAGGAATGCTTATGGAAATTATTTTCTATTTAAATTATCCAAAATTCTTGCGTACATGCATTGGACTATGAGGAAAACTGATCTTTTTCACCAGTACTTAAATCAGCACTGAAGTTTTGCCTTCAATTCTGATTTATCTCCTTCTCTCCAAGCCAAAGCTAGTTATGGGAGTAAACTTTTTTCCAGCAGCCGGTTTAACTTCATTTTTAGGTGAATTTAATTTTATCGAATTTCTTTCTCCTTCACTTTCCTCATTACTTAATCAGTTGTCACTGTGACTGGGCCGGGTGGGTTTTTTTGTTTCCTAAAGCAGAAACACCACGCTGGTTTTCATGGGAGCGCGCTTGATACCGTGGCGTGGTCAGCACATAGAAGCCCAAAGCGCCTTCAAGTTTTTTGTATGCAACACGCACATCCATAGAGTACGAGTAGTTGTATTAAAAAGCAGTTATCAACATTGTCGCTTGTGCGAAAAAACCTTGAACGCCTTCAAGTTTTGTGCATGCAATACGCACATCCATAGAGTACGAATAGTTGTATTAAGATGTTGTCACCAACATCGCATTTACCAAAAAGGAACCAACGCCATAACAGTGTTGTAAAAATGTCGCTTCTTTAAAATTATCCGAAAACTTTCCCAGAATAGCAAATAGTTTTTGCTTTTCTCCTAAAAATTGTAATTTTAAAGGAGAATAAGTGGGTCAATTTTAATACCGTACACATATTGAGTATTTTTAAAAGAAAAGAAGAAGATGCACGGTCTTGAAAAAACTATAATCGCGCTGTTTATTGTTTGTTAAACACGATCCAAATAATAAAAATACACTGAAGGAGAAAACTTCCAATCGGGGAACGATGGTCATATTTAGGCGATCTGAAGATAAAATCGCCTAATTAACCTTGGTTGCATATATATCGGCGATCCAAGTTAAAAACGCCTAATTTCCCTTGGTTGCCTATATTTAGGCGATCTAAGGATAAAATCGCGTAATTTCCATTGGTTGCCTATATTTACCCGCTGTAAGGATGAAAATAAAACATAACAAAAAGAAGGCTTCCACACGAGATTTTTCAATTTTTAGATGGATAAGTAATTATATCCGTCCATGAGGCATAAATTATAGACCAATGGAATATCGAATCTGTGCCGGTTGGTGACGCATTGCCTTTACACTAAAAAGCTCGCTAGACGAGCCCGCACCCCTCCTCCCCCTGCTCTACCGTGATGGCTGAAAGTGAAGAGTCGCGCATAAACTGTCATCCCATCGTCGGAAATGAACCGAAAACATCTATTCGTTTTCAGTTCGCTTGGCATTCGAATTTGCTTCCAATAGCTCCGAGACCCACATTTTGCGGTTTCCTCCTTCAGAATGGGAGGAAAGTTTCCTTGGACCGTCGGAAGGAAAAGAAGGATTTCTTTCACTGCCAAAGCAGCGTGGAGGAATTAGTTTTTCTCTCTCTTTTCCCATCTACGAGAGGAATACAGGTCAGCGCGGGAAAAGGATTGCAATTGTGATGGATCCCTCAGACTCGGTTACTTTACTGCCGTGCTAAGGAAGAACGTCGTATGAACCTTCAGACATTGCCTGATTTCCTTCAAGAAAATAAAAATTTTCAGGAAAATCTGTGAAAATTTTTCCTCCGACTATTCAGAGGATTTTATTCACAGGCATCCAACTCATCTGTAAATTACAAGAGAAATTATTCCGAACTTACCTCAAAAATAAACACTGTACTGGAGGAAATTTAGCGATTCTCGACGTTTCATACTGCGTTTTCCCTTAGCCTCATTTTCCGAGTTTGAAGCAGCACACAAAAATGTTACTGCTTCATCTGAAAAAGCCTAATGAGCTAAGTTCGCAGTATTTTTCATAAATTTTTTTCTGACACGAGAAATTGGAGAAAAATTGATATAAAAGTGAGAAAATTTGCCGCCTTGTGCGGCGTCATCTGGCGGCATTACCCATTCAAACACATGTATTTTAGCAGAATCGGTTATTTTGTCAAATCTCCTATCCTAATTGCTCAATTTATGAATCAAGGGTATCTTCGTGTTCAGTTCACTCGGTAGATTCTACTTTAACACGACATTCATCAAATTTCAGACCCTTGCAAATTCTCCATTCGCAATATTTGTTTCCATAAAGTGAAAAATATCTGAAAATGGGTTTCGAGGGTCCACATTCATCAGCGACATCGATGAACCATTTTCAGCGTGTGGAGTCGGCTTCAGGACGGGAGCATATTAGAGTAAGATCGGGAACAGGATTCGAAACTGACCTTCGAGTTTTAGGAGCCATGTGGCGCATCAAGCTCGATTTTTAGGCGCCATTGAAGATTTTTTCGGGGCCAAATTGGCTTTTTGCCTATACATTACGGCGCATTTAGTGAAAATTTAGACGCAAGATGTTGTTGTAACAGATAACTAGTAAGTAGCTGTAACTTGGGGGAGACCAAAGCACTAAGAATGAAATCGTGAGGAATGAAAAAAGCTTTCACTTGTAGTGCTGACAATTCTGAGTTTTTTTCAATTCAAATAGACTTTGATTTCTTCCTTCGTGTGACTTCCTGTGAAAATCCAGATGTGTAGGGGCCACGTTGGTGCAGAGCCTTCATTTTTTAGGTGCCATGGCCGATTTTTTAGGCGCATTTGACGCGTTGGCGCCTGTGAGTTTCGAACACTGTTCGAGGGCCACATTCATCAGCGACATCGATGACCCATTTTCAGGACTCCATTTTCAGCGTGTGAAGTCGGCTTCAGGACAGGAGCATATCGACGGTGAAACTACCAAACCACGTATCTCGGTTTGCGACGTCGGAGACTTCCTGTCATACTTTATTTTTTTAAATGGAAAACTACTTAACATCCAGTCTTGAAAATTTCTGTGATTTTTCCTCTTTGTGCGGAGAAAATTTCGTGAAAATTTCAAGGAATGATATTGATTTGGTCTACTTCAGAAAAATAAAATGTGAGCGTACATTTTTAAACACCGCAAACGAGATACGTGGTTTGGTAGTTTCACCGTCGATATTAGAGTAAGATCGGGAAAATGGATTGACGCGGTCGATTGGTGAGTTCATTGTCACGGTCAATCTTAGCGGAGACGCTGGCGGGCAAGGGGGCAAGGGGGCAAGGGGGCAGGGGGCCCACGNGGGGGGGGGGGGGGGGGGGGGGGTACAGGAGCACGAGACGAGACACATGCACGGCACGTACTCGCTCCATCCTCCTAGTCCATCCTAACCAGCCTAGCTTCTCACAAGGAGTATGCTTCTTACAGTCGGACCAAAATAAACACCACTGCCTCCACTGCTCCACCACGCTGGTCTGTTTACTAGTCGCGCCGCACGGTGGATCGAGTCGATGAAAGAGGTCGGACATGATATTTCAGGCTAAAAACTGAAAATTTTGATGTATATTCAGTCACATTTTAAGGTGTAAGGGGTGCTCTGTGAAGATTACGCGAGAAAAACGGCGGAACCACTTTTAAAACTCAATTTTGGTAAAAACGGAGTTACAAGCTTTTTACGTTTCCGCATGTTGTCCGATATTTTCGATTGATTCGGTCCAGGGTGCGCTAGAGAGCCGGTCGGATAACAGTCAATCGGTTTCGGAAAAATTTCAGCACCGAGCTGAATTCGATGTCTTTGGCTGAAGAGGGGCTCAGGACCGAAACGGGACTATCGAGCTATCAACGGAGACGATACATTGAAAAGACCCTAGGGATGGCGATTTTTTCGAAAAAATCGATTTCTGGAGATCGATTTGATTTTCGGTAAAAAATAGGTTTGATTTTAAAATCTGATGGGGAAAAATCATCTGATCGAGCAAAATCGATTTTAAAACACTTAAAAATTCAAGTTCGGCGCCAAAAACAAAACCACTACTAAAACTGAACTTGAAATAAAACTCGGGTTTCACAGAACCTATAAGCCTTATGTGACACATTAACGCATGAAATTTCGATTTTTTTTTTTTTTTGAATAATTCGCTTTCGGCTCGAAAAATCGATCCAATTAAATCGATTTTTCAAAAAATCGATTATAAATGGCTCCTCAGTCAGTGCATGTAAGGCTATCGATTTCAGTGGTCAAAACTTGTGTCACAAGTTTGACACAAGATATCGCCTGGCTCTCGGATTAGCAGTTCCGAAGTGTGTTGGCGAAAAGTGCGTTGAAATGATCCGGAAAAATTTGCGCGTAGTCTCACTGTGAGGAGCTTTGATGGTGCCAATTTTTACGTACGCCTAGCCGGGATGCACGGCCTGCGTCCGTTCAGTCATTCTCATTCAGTCTTTCGAACCGCGCCGGCGAAAGAGGTGGCCCCTAGCCCTGCTGCTACGAGCAATATACGCGTGTTTTTTCCAGATGGAGCTCAATTTTTTATACACTCATTTTAAGTGCATTTGATATTTTTCTTAAGTTGGCAGTGCTGAATATATTTCGCCAGCTTTCCCTTCTTACTAACCTGATCTTCCTTGCTCTTTTTATTTTGTGCGTCTGATAGAAACACCCCCAAAAAATTATTATGTTTCTACGCGTACTTAACACCGGCGAAGTGATGTAAATTCTGTCAAGTGGTTAAAATTTCATCGATTAATTTTTTAAATTGTGTCACCTCATTCAATAAATGCTGTAAATCCGGTTAATTTGAAGAATTTATTTTTCTCTTTGCGAATAAATGCATGAGGTTTTGTACGTGAAATAATTGCACTTAGTAAAAAATTAATTAATGCAATTAATTAGTGCACCATTAGTTACCAGTCATTGACACAACAATTTAAAAGGTTTGTCCTTTATTTTCCTTTACCAAAAATGTGTTATTTCTTCTTTGACAAGAGGACCGTGCTTTTTCGGAAAAGGGACTACAACTTACGGTCTTATTAAATGATTGCGCGTTGCATTTTGATCAAGTTTGTTTTTTTTTTTTTTTTTTTTTTTTTTTTTTTTTTTTTTTTTTTTTAATTCAAAGATACAAATAACTATGTCTATGTGTCCACTTGTGGATTTCTATTGTATTCCTCCAGTATGATTTGAATGTGCGATATGTGTATAAGATGTCTATCTACCATGGATTTCTTACCTAGCTAGACTTTATTTTTGCACAAATGCGTTCATATGATGTTTACTTTGTGTTGTTCTTCCTTCAGATAGTGAACAGAAGGCATTCTTAATTTTCAATTTTCGAAAACTGTGCGGACAGTCTCTGTTCTACTACTAAATTTTCATTTGGCCGACGGATCGAGTTGACTGCTTTAGGGAGGTATATAATAGTGTAAAGGTAGTGGCGGTGTGTGGGCTGAAACTTGGAAAGGAAGGCTAAATTTTGAAAAATGAGAAAGGGGCCTGGGGAATTTTCCTTCAGCCATGAAGGTGGAGCTTTTCTGCATTTTGAAAATGACCCTTAGAGCACAATTTTATTCCACCATTGCATATCATCCCCTCCAAAGAACGTAGAAATTTGGGGGCGGGGGAAGTGCCCCCCCCCCAAAGATTGCTCCTCGCTTCATGAACGTGTCACCTTGACTGATTTTTAAAGATAAAACTGAGACATGAGACGGCTCATTGAGGCTACAGAAGGCTGCATCTTCAATTAGATCTTCGTCTATGATCTTCGGTAAAGACCGATAACGCCAGTGTTTTAAACAACCAACCAACCTCACTTCAATCAGATAAAAAGCGTAACATATAATCTCGTTTGTTATGGGGCTAATTTCTAAGAATCAATCGAAATTCTGAAAACTCAAAATCTTTGATGAACGTTTGACAGTTGATAAACAAAAAAATGAGGGCCTCGGTTGAATGAATAAAGAAAAATGAACCATAACAAATCATAAGTGCAAACTTATCAATATTGCGTTATTCGTCGATCACCAGTGGCCCGTTGAATGTTGAGATGTCCCTCTCTCAGCTCCTTTTTGATTGGCTCCAAAATTTCGACACTCTCCACCAAAAAGTTTAACGTCTTAGGATTTAAACCGTTTGTGCTTTTCCATCGACTTTTTCTTGAACAACATTTCTTACTTTCCCTGAATTTTTATCCTTTTTTTAGTTTCCGGTCAAAACAAATCCCTTGAAATAATTTTTCATTCCTCGGCTTACACAAATTTGGTAAACTGTCCGTCGCAACAGACAGCTCAAGAGATTTCAAAAATTTAATCGACTAATAAATCGACAAAATAACTTACATAGCAATGATCGATTTGCTTGCGTTAAAGTTAGTTTCCGTGCAAGCGGGGAGTCCGAGTTTACTTAAATTAATGTAAACTATGAACAAAAATTTGTCATTTCCAAGATGAAGTGAGGGGCTTGCAGGACAAGGCGCATGAGTGTAAGTAGTGGTAGTAAAAAAATTGAGACATTAATGATTTTAAGAATTTATAGTCTTAATGCATATTTTGCGAAAAATTCACTCCCACATTACATTTTATAAACATCAAAAAGTAATTCGAACTTTCTTTCCGCCATGAGAATCCATGTACTTTCGAAACTTCAAACACGCATTTCTCGAGATAGCAAAAACTGCACTCACGCACTTTGTCCTCCAAACCCATCAACTGGGATTCTTAAAACATGTTGAATGATGGACATGTTGAACATGTTGATTCGTGAGATGTGGACAGAAAAATAAATACTGTTGTTTACTCAAATTCTTCCTCCGCCTGGTGGTTTATCTCTTTTTAAGGGTCGATTACTGACACCACAGGAGAAAAAGAAACCAAATTATTCGGGTAACTTCTGAGCTGGAGCTCCTACATTTTATTGGAAAATGAAAGCTGCTGCAAAGACGCGCTTCTGTGGACTTCGGCCATTTCGGAAATAAATTAGAGTTGGTCAAACGACACGGGTGGTTCCAAATCTGTAACATCCTCCCGCATCGTCAAATTAATTTATGACTGCAGAGGGCGGAAGTGAGGCAAAATAACGACCCGTTGCCTGCTCGAGCAATTTAACAGCTTGAATTAAAATTACATTCTGCAGAGTGACTCAAATTTAGAGAAAAAAAACAAGATGTGGTCAGTTTTTTCACCATTCTCCGTCTATCTGTTTCTATTTGACTTCCGTTAAAGGCCACTTACCGAGTAGCAATCAATATTTCACACCAAAAAAGTGTGACATATTCTTAGTTTTTCCCGACAGTTTGCAAATTTCACAACAGTTTGATTTATTTCGTTAAATAAAGTTTTATACGTCAACATTACACTTTGCATGGCCAAACTTGACTCTACAAGCCCTTGCCTCGTTGACATTGATAGTATTCTACAGGATGATCTCCTATTTTGGCGTATTTTCTCGTCGAGTAAGTTGTTTATAATTAGGGGCAATTCATTAATTACACGCCGCATTTGCAGATTTTCGACAACCCTCCCCCCCCCCNCCCCCCCCCCCCCGCCTAAAGTTCCGTAAGAAATTCGCTACCAAATTCCAATTTTTAAGCATCAAAAAGCCAGTTTGAACTTTCTTTCCGTCATGATTGCTAAATTAGTAATTTAGTCACTGTAACGTGTAATTTCGAAACTTTCATCAGGGATTTCTCGAAGTAGCAAAAACTGCACTTAAACGCGACTTGTCCTGCAAGCCCCTGAAATCTTGTTTCCTTTTCCCTTCAAGTTTACAACGGGCCAATCTACTCCAACCGGCGTACTTTTTCCCACGAGGGATGATGAGGAGCTCAGTAGTGAAACGTGAATCATTAGCCTTCGATATTTTCCCATTTGACGCTACGACAAAGAATCGATCATTGCTAATCGATTTTATTCGAACATTTTTCATGAGTTTATATGACAGATCGATAGATTCATCGCAAAGGACGCCGCTCGGCTAAAATGGCTCAATTCAAAGGATGCATTACATGACGACGAAAAAGTTTACTCCGTGATGGACACTCCTTGGCGTCCTCTCACACCCACACGTCCGGCCAGTGTTAACTCGAAAAGCCGGGAAGTTCTCGTTCCACGTGCTAAATGTTCAACTTTCGGTTTACTCCAACTTTCCGCTTTTCGTTTTTTGTGTCGCGTCCTCATGAGTGCCAAGGCACTCTGTGAGTCTTCACCTCCGTGAATAGTGAATAGGCAGTTACAGACACTCGCCACCTCCGAGCGGAAAAGTTTCACGCTTCCTATGTTGGACATACTGTGTGCTTGTCACAAACCTCGACTTTTCCTCTCATTTTTGACGTTTGTGTCGCACGCGGATACAGTTTCCACCCCATTTGTCATCCAATTTCGTGGCCACTTCAGGGTTCACCGAACAAATTTTTTCTCGCACTGGAAAAAAAAAGAAACACATTGGATCTAGAGTCCAGATTCTTGAAAATATTGACAAGAAAATGGACTCTTAATTCAAGCATATTTAAGCTTAAATCAAGAGGAAATCCGCTCAAATTAAGAGGCTTGGTTCTTGATTTAAGCTTAAATCTGATTGAATCACGAGTATTTTTTCTTGTCAACGTTTTGAAGAGTCTGGACTCTAGATTCAATGTGTTTTTTTTTTCCAGTGCGAGATACAATTTTGACTTAAAGCGTCGTTTCTTGGTGACAATTTTTTTTTTAGTTAGTTAAATCCGTGCGGATTTATCCGAAAGTCATTTTTTTAGTTAAAGAAACGTTGTTTCTTTATCGTTAAGTTTAAATTTAAAAAAAAAAAAAACTATACCGTTAACGATAGCAATAACTTTGCTTTAACTCAATAAAACTGACTTTACGTAGCTTCAATTTAAAAAAAAAAAAATTGTCGTCGAGAAACTACGTTACAGGACAAAATAATATCTCCAGAACGGTTGAATTTTACCGTAGGATCCTTAATGATGTACTTACTGCATGTGAAAGGAGGTTTCATTGTATCCTCCTCGAGGAGAGTAGCCTCTGCGCCTGGATACAACTATTCGTGTTCTGCGATGAACGGAGTTGCATAAACAAAAAATTGAAGGCGCAACGCGAGGCCTGCATCAAGGCTACATGTTCAGGTGTCAGGCCTAACAGTGACAGGGTTTCCGGAAATTCCAGGCTTGTAGACACCCTGCTTTCTAATAGACTCGGTCCAGTTGATTCCATGCGGACTCCAGTTTGGCAACGGAGAAGGGCCGAAAGTGGGGTTAGAGCCCGGGGCAGGTGGGGAGGGGATGGTCCAGATTCGCGTATTTTAACGACACATAAATTTTACGATACAACGGTATAATTGGGCTCCTTTTATGGGTCGTCTTGCTCCCGCCGACGCGGACGCGAAACGGGCGGCCAAAGTTCGTCAACTCCGTCCATCGCGCGTCCAGTCCGTGTGTCCCGTCCCGTTTCGATTCGATCCGACTCAGCACGGATTTAACTTTAAATGCACCGGCATTGCTCATCTTCACGGCTCTCACCAGCCACCAGTACAACCACAGACAATATATTTGGACGTGTTTCTGCCAAACGGAACTATGTGCACAATGACGTGAGCTTAGTTATGCATGTCTTCTAATGGGTCTCAGGGCTCATGTCTTAATGCACATATTTCCATTTGATAGAAATACGTCCATTTCAGGGACCCCGCGCTCCTATCTTCCTAGGGTGTAAAAGGGTCCTTTCGGAAGTCAACTGTCAACGTTCAGATTCGCCTATTGATGAGTGATGACCAAAGAGTTGAGCGATTAGTGAAGCAATGATAAAAGACTTGCATGGCGAAGATCTCACCTCGACATTCAACAGTCATCATTGGGCGAATTTCATCCGATTTTTTCCCCCGAACACGCTGTTCATCAATCATCACTGGGTGGAAAGTAGTGTTGACCAGAGTTGACCTCCGAACGTCA